AATATTAATATTTTGTCGATGGAATCTGAAGTAAACTGCAATAGTAAATTGAAATTATTTTATGAAATGTAATGAATTAGAAATTTGAATATGAATGGTTTTTAGTAAATGCTGGTTTCTTATTTTTTGGATAAGGAAACATTGTAACTTGGAAGATTGTAGCTGGATTTAAAGGCCATTATAAAAAAGATGTATATGACTGATTATTGTGTCTATAAACGTGGTTTATAACATTCTTACAGAAAAGGTTACAATAGTAAAATTGACAAAAAATGAACTTAGAACCAAATAAGTTTCTTTGACAGACTTATCTCTAAATAAGTCCATATAGGGGGACCGGCCTCCAAATTTCTTGAGATTAATATACATAAAGAACACAATAAAATAAGATATCTTGCTTTTTAAATCTACTAAATAAGATAAAAAAAAAACAAATTGGCTTAAATTTAGAAGTAATTGGTCACAGACTTTGAGAAGTGATACTTGAATTATATGATACTCTCAGATAGATGATCAAAGCTTTGGATAAATTTTTGCGAATTTCAGGAAAAGTTTTGTACATCAATATAATAAAACATGTGATCCTCCTCAACATGGACGAAATGCCTTACAATTTCATAATGTAACTAGAAACAATGTTTTTATTGTACTAGGATTCACCATTACAATTCTCATGTGTAAACCTCCAAAAATTTTGTTATAGAAAAAAATTGATTAAAGAATTGCTTGGTCAAAATTCTCGTCATTCACATTTCAAGTTATTTGATATAGAATCTCTATATGAATCTTGGTGTACATGGTTTCTTGGCAACGTTTGTAGCAGCATAGGTACACAACACATGACAAGTACTGTTCAAACAAATAGGATCAATCAAGACAGTGAAAAAAAAGACCAAAGAGAAGCTACAATAAAGTAGCTAGATAACATATGCTTCATCAAGTTTCCTTCTCGCACATATACATTCCATTACACAATGAACTAATTCCTAACATTCTGCCACACTTAAATATGGATTCAAGTGACAGACTTCCTTTGTGTGCAAACTAGAAAGCACTTTGAACCAAGAACATCATTTGCTCAAAAAATGAAATAAAGTCCTTGGTAGTGTTTAATTCCTGGTATGAGAATGAGAATAAAAGTTAATACAAGAAGTCTAGAGAAGAAAAACATCAACTATACAAAAATTATTTCAAAGGGGCTCAAGCTCATATTTTGTCTTATTATTTTTTTTAATGTTCAAAACTCATAGAAAGTGTCGGAAAGTGGAACTCAAACCAAACGGCCGAGGAATTTTGAAAAATAAATATATGCTATCAAGACCTCCATTGGAAGGATTGAAAAAAAAATGTTTTTCACTTATGTTGGTATTTTAGAGTATTATAGATAGAATAGAGAATTAAAAGAGATGTGGGAAAATTTAAAAATTTAAATACATAATGATATAATTGTAATTTAGATATTTAAGTCTGGAAAGATAGTATGATATTTAAAATTCTTTATAAAGATAAAATAATAAATCAAAAAATTTCATTCAAAGTACTTTTATTAGTAATATAAATATAACTATAAATATAGATTAAAGTGCAACTAAGTTGACGAGAATTTTACAGTAAAGAGAAACATAGGAGATATGTGAAATGAATGCATGTGCAACATTTGTCGGTCTATTTGAATAAAATGCAATAAAATTGACAATTTGTCATTAAATAATTTTTTTGGGGAGTCCATGAAATTTAAAGACCATGTTCCATGAGTCACATCAATCCAATTAGTCACACATTAGATTAAATAATTAGGAATTTCAATTAGTGAGATATCAAAAAATGAAGTTAGTATTACTCATTTTTGGCATTGGAACAATATAATTAGATAAAAGTAAAATCAAGATCAGAATTACACAATATCGGGGAGTGCGTGGCTTAGTACGAGTATATAGAACCATTTTAAAGTTCATCACAATCAATACCACAAAATATTAAATAGACATCAGACCTCAACCCATAAGAGTTTCAACAAAGTAATTAACTCATTTTAATTCATCTTCTCATGGAGTGCTAGCCAACAACAAGGATGGCCTTATCTGAATATCTTTGAAAATTTAAAAAAATTATATTAAGTCAAATTCTAGGGACAAAGAGATTATACATATGTCCTTAGTAAGAAGTACAGTTCCCAAAATGACATATGTAAGAAGTACACATATGTCATTTCTTTTGAATTTCAAAAAAAAAAAAATGAAATGTATTAAACTAATTAGAATCATAAATTAGTTGATTTTGGTCTGCAATTTATCAAATTACTAAGGAGATCAGCATAGGTAGTGCATATTATGATAACTTAGGGAAATTATCCCATCAAAAAATCATCTGGAAAGGCATAGATATTTGAAAGGAAATTTTCAAGTTTTCATATATATATATATATATATCATATCATATATCAGAATTATCGAATTTATATTGGGTTATGTATGTTTAGTGAATTCAGAACTCTACTACAAAAGAGGAATAGAAAATTAATGGCAAATCCATTATATTTCATAGCAAAGCCTTTGGTGATTCATCTTACAAGTTTGTTTCTACTGCAATCTTAATTCATAATCAAGTTATTTTACTCTATGCGAAATTGAACCTTTAAAAGCATTGTTTTATTTAGACTTACATTTGTCTTCTTTCAAATTAATCTCCAACTGAAGTTACCATTGTGAAAATTATTTAGATTTTGCTTTTAAAACTATAAGAAATAGCAATAATATTCTTTTAAATATCCTAATTGTCACAATTTTTTAAGATTTTAAGAAATTCCTAAAATTCTAGTTTCTCTAAATGTTATTTTGCCACCCAAGACATAACCCTCCCCTCCCCCTTCCCCCCCCCCCCCCCCTCTAAAAACCCAACTCCAATGGAAAAATGTAAAAACAAAAACAAAAAAAAAAAACAAAATTCATGGTTTCACTCCATATTTGAAATACATGAATGACTAGTTATGCAATTAATTCACTTCAGTTAACAACCTATTGATGATAGTTAATTAAATATCCTAAATGTAAGTAACGTAAATCGTAGCAACATACGTGGATGATGAAATTGGCATAATGTGAGAAATCAATCACTGTGGATGACTGCTCGCAAATGAACCAACATCCAATAGAGCACTTACAACTTAATAAGTAGCTAATATTAGAGAATAAGAGAAAATGCTTATCACATATGTGAGATATTAAGACCAAGATTAGATCAAATGTTCAGTGAAACAAATAACTTATTAATTACTCAAAAATATCATTAGTTTAAAAATTAGCACACACCGAATAAGATCCACCAATATAATGTCACATCTAACCAAAATCTAGAGAGAGGCATAGAGATCCACACCACTAATATTTTGTTGCATTTGATTTCATGCCATTATTATTTGAAAACCTCATCATCTATAAAGGAATAAAAGAGAAAAGGAAAAGAAAAAGAAAAAGAAAAACAAAGCTGAGCATACTATTCTTAATCGGTTAATTTCAACAAAAACTAGATTGATCAAATGAGTTTTGGCCATAAATTTTAATATTGTATTCTAAACAATTTATTTTTGTTGAAAAATAGCGCACTATAATCCGATGATTAAAAAATTCTTTTATTTTTTTCAACATTAATTTGGTTCGGTGAAAACATTCATATGGTAGGTCATAGTATTCTAGTACTTAAGAGAAAAGCAATGCTCAATGGAGCAGAGCCGAATCCGAGAAAGTTTTTATTTTAGATAGTGTTTTAGAGAAATGTGGAAGAAAATTGTATATACTATTTAGTTTTCTCTTATTTTTTGCCAAATTATTGATTTTTTTGCTCAATCCACAAAGAAATAAGGTCATGAAATTGATGAATATAAAACAAACCTGATTGCTTGATTTTTGTTGCTTCATTTCACTAAAAGATGATGGAAGGGATGTGTTGGGAGTCTGTCAAAATCTTCTCCTTCTTTCCCGTCTACAATTCGAATCTTTTCCGTGAATTCATTGGGCATATTCCCAATTGTCAACACTTGGAGATTAGTGACGAACTTCAGTCCCTCCGGAAGCCTCTGCAATCTGGCGCAAGAAAAGATTGTCAAAGTAGAAAGATTGGGCATGGCTCCTTTATCCATCCTCCACTTTTGTAAATTGCTTAAATTAATCAGTACAAGCCTTTTGAGTTGTGGAAAGCCCTTAGCAGAGCAGACAATTTCCTCCCCAGCAAAGATGTCTGTCACCAACTCAAGCAAGTTGAAGTTAGGAAGCTTTTCCAACGTTGCCATAGGGTCTTCTTCAAGTTCAGATCTATACAAAGATAGTTGGGTAAGACTTGAAGACAAATGGGTGTGCTCAGGTAACTTACCTATTGTCCCTTTTATAAGCAACTTATGAAGTTCAGGACATCCCAACAATTGGGTTAGCAGAGTTAACTCGTCTTCAGAACAAAATTTACATTCAATTTCGAGGGATAAGTTTCGAAGGTGGGTGATGTTTCCTAAATATTTAGAACATTTACCTTCCATAATAATAGGATATCGGCAATCCTTAAATCAAATGTTTTTGCAAGTGTTTTAAGTTGCCTAAAGATGATGGGTAATCAATGAAAGAAGACCCTCTCAAACTCAGGTACCGCAAATGGATTAGATTACCTATTCCTTTTCATGACTTCCAATGATCAATGATCATGCAGGGTGCTTCAATAACTTTAAGATTTGAACTAGGTGTCAATCCTTCAATGGCTAAAACTCTGAGCATCTTGAAGTTGTTAAATGAGGATTTCATCATCGGTGAGATACGTCCATCATACTCATTTGATATAAACACCAAAACTGACCGGAGGTGTTGGGCTGTTTTCTTTTTAGGGGGGAACATATGGGCTTAAATCTGCCCCACCCAAATAAATGGCATGCCTACGAGTATTATTGGTTGAAGCAGAGGATTCCACTGGCTCGTGATCATATAATCAATGACCTTGAGGAAATTATCCTCTTTTCCCTTGGACGAGCATAGGTCCCGCATGAGATCATGAAGGCGACAAGATCTAAACCTTCTAATGGATAACTCCTCCCCTAGTCGCACTTGAACTATGCACCTCTGTGCTAATTCACCAAAGTAACGTTATGCTATATCCATCATTGTTTCAGCTTTTGATTTGTCATCTGACAACACTATACCTTCAGCCATTCACAATTGGTATAATCTCTCAACCTCTATCTCAGAATCTTCCTCGAAATTGCCCAAATAAAGACTCACTCAAGGCCTCTTTTGTGGCCAAAAGTCCTCCAAGAACAACCACAGCTAATGGAAGACCCCCACAATGTTTAACCATTTTCCTCCCTAACTCCATTTTTTGAACATAACTCAGGTCTGCAAAACAACAAATAAAATAAAATAAAATTTCTTAAGTGGCAGAAATTATGCACAAGATTGCTGAGAAACTTTTGATTGCCTCCCGAGTATGTAGGGTTTTTCTTTGGCCGTGGAAACAAGCAAATTAATATTAAAAAAAAAAACTTTGTCTGTCTTTTGAGAATATACGTAGAACTTTTTATATTTATACGTAGATAAATGAAGCACATACTTTCATTTGCTCACTTAATTAAAAGGTGAGATAATTGAATAGTTTTTTTAGCACGGTACTTTCACTATATCTATATATATATATATAATAAAATAAAATAAAGTTTGAATTCTGAAGACAAAGAGAGGTTCAGATCGTTTTACGACAAAATATAAATAAATTCAATGTACAAAGTAATCCCAATATAAAAGACGATTAATACCATTTCAAAAATTTTAATCAAACGATCTACTAAATTTTGTATTCCTGCCTCACAAAACTTGCTAAATCACGCCTCTGTCTCTCTCTCCCAATCTGACACGTCTCTATCCCTGCCTTCCAAATGCATCCCCAAATTTTCTGGACTCACCAATTCAGCGATCTCTTCTTTCCTTATCAGAATGTGGGCTCTGTGATTTCCTTTCATACCCAAAAGGAATCTAACGCCTGAAATCGGGCAGGAATCAATTCGTCATTCCGTGCTCTTTTGAGTTATCTGAGGATTGTTCAGTCCAGTACCGATTCAAGCCATAATCAGGTATGAGTTTTGAATGGGTTTTTCGTCACTATGTTTGACTTTGAGGGGAAGGTTTCAACTTGGACCATTTGTACGTTGGTGACGAACTCGATAAATCCAATTTTACAACAATTTAGCGGAACAAAAATGGTAAGACTATATATTCGTCATTTTTTGTTGCCTCGATTTTTTGTTATTGTTTCGTCTTCACTCTTGACTGTCCATTAGCGTGCAAACACAACACTAATCTGAACAAAAATGGTAAGACTATATGTTCGTCATTTTTTGTTATTGTTTCGTCTTCACTCTTGACTGTCCATTAGTGTGCAAAAACAACACTAATGGACATTTATACCACTCAAGGGCCAAATTCATGCCTTTAGCAATGTAAAGGTACGAGTTGAGTCTCCTAAAGTTACTCTGTTCTATTCTTTCAATCCTAGGCTTTTTTTTCATTTTTTGTTGATTGATATGATTTTTCATGGGTATAATGGGTTGAATTTTTTGTTTACTACCTTGACTTTAGGCATGAACATAAGGTGTTTGACAAAATGTTTGTGAGAAAAAACACATAGCTTACAGTCTCTGTATCTAACAGTATAGGATGTTTTTGTTTGTTACCTATGGAGGGTCAATGCTGCGAGTGCATTTCTGCTTGGAGTAAAGAAGGTTGCATAAGTAGGGAGGTTTGTATCATGGTGTCATCTAAGAGTTGCCCTTGATGCTTTTCTACTGGGGTTTTATCTATGTTCTTTTTTTTTTTTCAAGTTTGGTTTTGGGTAAAATTTGTTTTGTTTTGATAGGCAATTTTTAGTAGGCTTTTAAAGTTCTTACTTTTGTCTACTGCAGTTGGAATAACACCTCTTGAAGCTTCAAGCATGTTGTGCCATCTATGGGAATTGCCAAATAAGCATAGGAGTGTCATGAGGTTTGGATTTAATGGTTGTTATACGTGTTTTCTACCAACTTGGCTGTTGGTTGGTATTTTAATAATTGAGAGGTTCGTTAAAAAAAAAAAGTGAATGTAGTTTGGGGTGCTGTCATTTTCTTTTGAAACTTGAGTTGGGTATTTGGCATGTCTACTCTTTTTTGTAATGTGATGCCTATACTTTGATTACTCATCTTAATGGCTTCAATTTTTTTGAGATGAAGGATTTTACTGCATTAGCATTGGGCAAAAAATCGAGTTCCAGTGTTCAATAGCACAGTTTTGCACCCATTGACTTTAATCTGAATGTTGGCAAATGAAAGCATTGTGCTGAGGATTACAGGCATACTATAAGAGTATAGATGGATTCAAATCTTTCTTACAGATTGATAAATTGTGTTTCCTTTAGCATTGAAGTGCATTAGCAATTCAAGGTGCGTCTCCCCCTTCTTCTCTTCTTTTCTCTTATAATTTATAGGAATTTTGACTCTATTTTTTGTGGGTCTGTTTGCTTCACTTGAGTTTCTTTTAATTGTGTGATTACACTAATTCGCATTGCATTGATCAATGGGTTTTTGTTGCAAGTTTTAGTGCAATGGTTGGTAGGTTTTACTGCAATGGTTTAACTAAATGAAAAGTCTTGGGGGTTCATTTCAAAGATTTGAGGTGAGTCTCTCTCTCACACACATGATCTGCTGCGGGATTTTTTTTTATTATTTTTTTTGTACCTGTTTTTATATTGTGTGAGTTTTGATGCATTTTAGTTGTTTGAAGTTTGTTTTCATGCTCTCAATTCAAAAAAAAAAAAAAAGTTTTCACGCTCATTAGCACTGCATAATAATTAGAATTTCCATTAGCTTTATACTTTCTTTATTCATTGGGGTTTGCTAGGGAATTGCTTGCTTTATTTATTGATTGTTTTGATTTGATTTGGTATCAATTAATTGGTTAAAGTGGAGTAGTGCGGGTTTGCTTGGATTTGTTGAAATGATTTAAGCAAAATTTATACTGTCCTTGGAGGGACGTGGGTTTGCTTGGATTAGTTGTTGTGATTCAAGCATATTGTATGCCCTTAGTGGAAATAGCATGACTGTTGTTGGTATGTGGTAAAAATCCTTCTAAGTAGTCACCTAAGGTGAGATAGGATGACTATTCCTACATATGCATTTCAGTTTGTTGTTTGAGTTATGAGTTCCAAAACAAATGTCGCAGTTTACAATAATATTCATTATTGTTACTTTTTGTGGGCAACCGTGTTTATTATCGTAAGTTCCTATATTGGTAGTCATTTTTCCTTATTGTCTCCAGTTGTTCCATTTGACTCTTTTGAGGTTGGTTTAAATAAATATATATGTTATTTTGTGATGTTATAGTGTTTTTTTTTGACTCTGTGTATCTATATATATTAATACACATCTCTCCTTCTACATAAGAGTATTTTTAAATAGTATTTACTCTAATGATAATTTTTTTGTGTTACGTAAGTGCCTTCAGGTACGAGCATTAACTAGTATATATATATATGATAAACACATACCCTCACTTACTATACTTGGTAAAAAGAATGTTTATGTGATTTCGACATGTAACTTGTTATCAACTTATTTATCGATGAAATTAAGAGATTTTTAGCTTTCTATTTTTGAACAAAAATAAATATTTCTAAAATTTTCAACTATCAAGCACTTGTAAAAATAGTTCGCCAAAATTTAAAAATCAACTGCTCAATACAATTAATACCCAAACATAGAGCCCATTTGGCCGTTTGATTGGGTGGCCCCAAAATCAACGTTTTTTCGTAGTCCTTTTTCCTCAATCCTTCTACCAAATATCACCTTAAATTTTGAATATGAAATTCCTACCAAATGAAATATATATTTTTTTTTGAAGCAATATTTTTTGAATGTCTTCATCAACATTTAGTGCCTCCATGTACATGGACTTAACTGGCCCAGATGCTCCTCTCTCTTGTTTTTTAAAAAAGGGTATCAAACTAAGAAGCATGCATGTTTCTAAAAGAAAAACGTATTCGTATTAAAACTTGATAAATATACTTTGATTTGTGCCCGATACTTCTTCAATGTATCCATAATCTAAAAATAAAATCCTCAACTGTAGATACTCTGTTGATACTTCTTGCATACTCGCCAACATCACATTGATACTTTTTAGACATTAGCCAACATAAGACCAATAAATTTTACATTCGAAATATGACAAGTTTTATCACGCAAAAAAAAAAAAATAATAATTGCTAAAAGAAATCAAATAAATGCTAAATGAAACCAATTTACAAATATTATCATACCAAAAGTTAAGTGAAGATTTTTTAAAGTAAGAGGGGACGGAAAGTCATCATGATTAAAGGTATATAATTATACACATACAAATCTACTAGTTATATTTTTAATATATGACAATATTATATTATGAAATATGGTTTATCTTTAGTATATTATACTTTTATTATTATCTAAAATACTTATGATATTATTTTAATTAGTTGTAGTTTTTCTATCGATGCTTCCTAAAACCTAATTTACTAACCTAATCATTCATAATCATTGGACTAATAGTAAACCCTAATTTTTGTTGAGACTTGCAACTAATTTAATGATTATAATGAATTAAATCAGTATATTAAATTTAGATAACAACAAGTTTTACAATTTGTTATCAACGTAACTATAATGCACAGTACCGTGATAAAATACCTGTACTCTCTCGGTTTCTCAAAGCCTTCTTTTGAAGCAACTCCCAACTTTCATCTTCACTCAAAATTCGTGGTTGATAGAGGCAACCATTGGGATCTACTCGTGACGCCACTTCTATACTACGAGTGGTAAGTAAAATTTTGCTACCAGTCTTTCCAACAGGGAAGGCAGGTTTCCGAGCATCCGCTGACCAAATATCATCGAGAACAACAAAGCATCTTTTGTTTTGTTGGATTTGCAGAAGTTCCCTAACTAGCTCCTCATTTCTCCATTTCATAATTTCTTTACGCTTGTCCGGGACAAATTTAATTAGGATTCCTTGCAAAATATCATTTGTTTCCCATTTTTGAGATATACAAACCCAAGCCAATATATCAAAATGACGCTTTACATTTGGGTGATTGTAAATCTTTCTAGCAAGAGTGGTCTTGCCCAGACCCCCCATGCCACAAATGGAAACAACTTGGTCGTACTTGCCCCTATCTTCTTTCACCAAATGAACCACCAAGTTCTCAACATCTCTCTCCAACCCAACAAAATCCTCCTCAACAACATGAGAATAAGACCGCCTTAACTGACGTTGCCTTTCATGCGCAGAGCTTGAGCTTTCTCCTTCCTTTATTGTACTTCTTATGCCATATTTGTCTAACTGATCGGTGAGTTGAGAGATCCTGGTGTTAATACCTTGGGTCTCTTTCCCAACCTTGTGTAGGAGCATACCTTCATTCAATAAGCAAGCGAACCTTTTGAGGATGTTTAGGATACCTCCCCTCCTCTTGGATTGAACTTGGAGAACATAAGTCTCAAGGACATCTTCGGCATGATATGCAACTTCTCTAGCGCCTTCAACCCAAGTGCGGACGGGGTCGTCTTCAATTTGCCTTGCATCTGCATCTTTCAACAAGCTTTGCAACATCTTAAGTTCATGCGGAAGACCCTGTACCTGGCCGTCAACTCCGGCTAAAAATTCGGCTTCTTCTTTCAATAGATCAGTGAGCGTTTGCACAACAAAAGAGACAATAGCCTCAGACATTTTTTTTCCTGGCTGAGAGGCTAGTACAGTAGCTAGGAGTTCAATTCATTTGGAAATTTTCCGAAAATCTACGGTAGGTAAGAGGTAGGAGTTTGATTCATTTCTTTGTTGGAAATATGGGTACTTATAATTTAGTCTGGCCAATGATTGCAAATGTGAAGCCAAAGGTCTTGCGTGGACTTGCTTCCCTCCTGCGGATCATTTCATTGGTGCAATGGCCAGTACATTTTTTATTTATTATATACACAGGATCTAAAAAATTGATACAACTTTTTTACCTAGTGATAAGGTTAGATTTTATCACTTTACATATTATTAGTAAAAATTTTAGATATTTTTTTAAGTACGATTATAATATTCATCTTGAGTACCTAATTTCGTCTCGAGGAGTCAACGCTTAACTCATTAATAAATTAAAATTTACCTTTTGTAACCATTTGAAGCATCGAATCAAGTCCATCAATAATATTTTTTATAGTTTTCCTCTTATTTTATGGGGGTAGTCAGAGTATTTGTGTTTTTTTGTACAAAAGAATGGTGATTTTATTGTCTTTTTTTTTTTTCTTTATCATTGAGTCAATAGTATTCGACAGTGGTTCAATGATTCAAGGTTGTGATATTTTTAGAATTAGTCATTTGCGAAAAATTAATCCTTGAAGTGGTGGAGTCAAAAAATTAATTTCAAATGGGAACTTCGACAAGTTTTTTTTCTCCAATCCGATAAAAATCGGGTTATACATTATGTCATGCTTGATAATTACAAATTCAATTGACACTAAAGGGAAAAAAAGACGGTATAAATAATATAAACAAGAGAAAAACAACAACAAAAGAACACATGTTGTACAAGAGAGATTTCAAAGGGGATGGTTGATCTTCTGAACAGGAGAAAAGAAGGCCCTTCATCCCCAAACCAAAAGAAAAAAAAGTATGATTACAAATTCCAAAAGGATCAAAGAAAGAAAAAGTGGGCAAAACAGCAATCTATACATTAACGCTTTAACAGTAACTTGAGCAAGTACCATCCAGAAACAAAGCAGCAACATCAGCATGCAACAAATGCCTGGCATCCATTTCCGCGTAATTCAAAGCACGCCAAATTAAAAATGTTATGGGACCCTGAGACGGATTTACAGTGGGGATAGTAGGGGCAGATGCCTCCACTGGAATTTTAAAAATATTTGGGGGAGTAAGATGAAATTTTAGAATTTGTTAAAAGTTGAACCCATTGGAATTTTAGAATATGTTAAAAGTTGCCCCCACTTAAATTTTAAAAATATTTGGGGAGTAAGGTGAAATTTTTGAAATTTTAAAATCTTTTAGAAATTGCCCCCATTGAAAATATTTAAAACTCAAGACTAGTTATGTATTTTCTCAAATATGTGGGGTTCTTTAGTTTTTAGCAACAACAAAAAGTGCTTTTATTTTTACTTTTAAGATATCCGATGATTCCAAGAACTTTATTCCTACAATTCCGGATTTGGTCTCTTTGAACACATATATATTTTTTTGTTGTGTTATTTTTGTATGTTAAATTAATATAGAGAATTGTAAGTTGTTAAATTTAATGGGATTGTTATATTTAGAATTTATGGATTATTTTTTGAATTAAACCATTTGGTTCGCTAGGTTTGAAGAATCTGATTGTAAGAAATTAGGTTGTTTGTATGTCTAAGTTTGATTTACTAGACTTGTATTTATGTTAAAAATTGTTTGACTTCCTAAACTATTTTGATTGATTGAGATTGAATAATGAATTATTTTCAATAAATACTTTTCAGCAAGGAATATAATACAAAGTCGAGAGATCAAGAGATGAATGATTACTTAACTGCATATGTCGAGAAAGAATTTTCAAATACCATTTGTGAAAACTTGTTAAAACAATTATGAAAATTTTCAAGAATTTGGATTTTTCCATGTATTGAATCAATTCATTATTGGGCACTATTTTTGTGATACAAAAGTATTTATTTCGTACAATTTTCTAGTGAACTTTTTTTATATATTGCTTGTTTATGTTATTTTGATAAAATTATACTTTTGTAAAATAGTATTAACACTCCGAGATTGAGTATTCATATATTGAAGGTTTCTCCCACGGGAGTTGGAGTCTAGCTCCACTCCTATGGGACCCAGAATTAATTGTTGATTATATTGATTTTAATTTTTTGTTAATTTATTCAATTTCAATCATTCATCCATGGTTTTGTTCACAAGGATTCGATAGTGGTACCTTTGGGTCCACTTATAGCAAATAAATATAATGGTTAATGATTGAAGTTAATAACTGTTAGAATTATCACTTGTGAAACCTATATAAGTCAATGAACTACCTAAGATTTACGCTTTGAGATACACACATGAGTTTCAAAAGTATATATTAATCCTTGTTATTGGACATTCCTTTTATGTTCTAATAAGTGGTGTCAAAGCCTCGCTAACCAAAAAGAATGGGTAAATTATTCTTTTGAACTCTAAGCCTTACTTTATACCTTTAATTGTAAAATTTTTCACATTGTATATTAAAATATCAATTTTACTTCAAATTACTCTAATAGATAATAACTGTCAAATTTACTTCAAATTTTACGTGAATGCTTTTTTCAGATGAGGTCCAACCAAGGAGAAAGGATAAAATAAAAAGAAAGTTAGAAGTGAGAGGAAGTGAAAGGGGGTGAGAGCTAAAAAATTTACAATCCAGAATTAATTATGATGGTGGTAGTTCTAGGAAGGTTGAGAGCTATGTTTGTTATGAACATCACTAGTTGGAATATTAGAGCATTAGGGTCATGGAAGAAGGGAGCTACAATTAAGCCTTGTTTGGGAAGGATTAGATCGGATGTGATTGTTTTGCAAGAAACTAAGTTGGAAGTCATTGATCGGAGAGTTATTAGCGGTGTGTGGAGGTCAAGGTTTAAGAATTAGGTTTTTTTACCCTCTGTGGGGTTGTTCGGGAGGTGTTGTCATTGGGCCAAAACCTTAACAGATTTAAAAATAGGTTCTTCGGAAGCCGGTATATCTAATTAGACTTATTTAGCAAAACGTACATAGAACAAAATATTTTGAAAAAAAGTACACAGCTGAGATACAAAGACATAAATGCCCATTTTAGGGTTATTTAATTCAAAATCTCTTATCTTTAATACACCTTGATTCATGTGTGTTTGTTAAATGCACATTGATTCAATTGTGTTGTTAATACATATAAATACGTATATATATACTTGTTGTCAAATTTTTTATCTAAATTTTGAATTATCTTTAATGCACCTTGATACATGAGTATTTTTTTTTTAGAAAATGATTTTGTTTTCAAATTATATTTAATGCACTTTGATTCATGCGTTTTTTTTAAAGTGGTTTTATTTTCAAATTAATTTAATATCCAAATATTGTAATAGTGTAACAATAACAGTAGGTATGCACTTTCCAAAAAAATGATACATAAAATATATATATATATATATGTGTGTGTGTGTGTGTGTGTGTGTGTGTGTGTGTGTGTGTGTCTATATATATATATGAAATTTCAAAATTCAAATAATACACAAATATTAAAAGAATTTTGAAAGTCTTACATTTAAGTAGGTATGCATTATTTATGGTAGGGGTAATTATGGAATACATTTTAGAAAGAATTTGAAAATGTTTTAAAATATGTATTTATTGGCAACTATTTGATGAAAAAGATGACTTAAAAGAGGATAAATTTGAAGGTGGTACTTAAAGCCAAATAAGTTTTGAAAAAGGTAGTCACATCCCATATCTCTATTTTTTAAAATTCAAATCTGCTTCAAATCCACATTAACTCAGTAATCAGTAGATTTAGGGCCATTAATTATAGCAACCAACAAATTATCAACCTAAGTTCACCAACTCTATCCTCACCTTGCCTCCTATTGTTGCCACATGTACCTTAAAACCCTAAGACATCATCTTCAACCTCT